GGGAGAAAAGGAGGTTATATTGAGTAGATTTAGGAGAGTAGAGTGGCTGCTATGGGAAGGGGAAAATAATAGGTGGGACTAGAAAATACAAGGAGGATCAGCTTTTTTTTCTTCTAGCCATCCTTGCACGCAAGGTCGGAGAAAGAAAGTAGATCTAATCCGCCCCTTGTCTGTATTCCTCCGGCAGAGCAGGCAAGCCTCACCAGGCAATTCGAGGTTGCGTGGGCCAGTTCTCCTGGCCCACAGTACTGAAATGATGGGGAGAGTCAGGGTCGGCTCTTCTCTCGACTCCTTACCTTTCAGCATTTTTATCAAGGTGAAATCAGGCTAAAATGAACAGCAAAAGCATCCTTAAAGGGGAAAGGAAGCAATAAAGAGCACCACGAAGCAGGGAGGCATGTGAAAAGGTTAGAGGCATCAGCTTTGCCCTGGTGGTTGGGGCTAGAGACGGGAGGCTGAAAGGCATTTATAGACCAGTCCAGTCAATCAACAAGCATTTGTTAAGTATCAAATAGGGAGGAATGGGGTGTACCACATGTGCACATATAAGTAAATACGAAAGATACATAAGGTAAATATGCAAAGTGATTTCAGGGAGGAATTAGTATCTGGGGGTTTAATGCCTTTTTACTTATTCATTCTGGAATATATTTCCTCCTCATCTCATCCTTTTGCTTTAAAACAGCTCAAATGCCATCCACCACACGAAGCCTTTTATGATTCTCTCCCCCCTCCATATCCTTTCCTCTTCATTCCCTAAAAATTACCTTGTGTTTACTTTGTTTTTGTATATACCATACTTACATAGAGGGATTGGACTGGAGCATGTTCCATGGAGCATGTGCTCTAGCCCCTTGATAGAGGAAAAGGGGATCAGCTTTCTGGTTGGTCCGATGGTCCCTGTAACTAGAGGGGGAAGGGAGGGCGGGTAGTGGGGGAGTGTTGCATTGAAAGTGGTTGTCAAATGATCCAGAAAGAGCCGCCTACTCAGTAGGTTATATAAAGAGAGAAAAGCTATTCTCTTTATTGAGCATGTTGCTGAAGACTGGGGCAGGTTGCTTGGACTTCTGGGGAGGAGAGAGATTTCTTTGCCCACCCTACCCTCATCAGTAATGATACCTAAAACTCTAGAACATGGCCAGGATAATATGTGCTTGCCTAGATGAGCCTGATATTGGACCTATTCTGGTTTTTTGCCTGGGCCCAGGTCACAAAATATTGATTCTGAGAAATGGGTTTCCGGTCTTGGTGGCTACCTAATAAGTTTAAGGGTTCCTGGCTTCCTCAGTCAGTGCTGGATGCTCATTGGGTTGTGCTTCCTGGGACTACATCACTTCTAGGAGGAAATGGCCACCAACAGGAAGATGCTGCAGCTGAAAGGCCTAAGAAAGCTTAAGCCATGCTCTGGCTAGCTGGACCTTGTGAGTTACTCAAGCAGGCACATGTGAGTTGAAAGAAATATTCCACTGTCCTGAAATTCTTTTTACCTCCCAGGAGAATGTGCTTAATGTGATTAGTTATTGCTTTATGCTTTAAACATTTGCTAATGCTCACTTATGAACCTTTTATGTTTTAAGCAGTTTTGTTTTGTTTTAGTTTTTTTGTGGTGGAACAAATAAATAACTGTCCTATACTCGATGTCTACTTTGTGCATTGAATGGACTTTGTTAGTCTCTTTTGGGGAGACCCTGACATAAATTGTGTTGTAAAGATAGTTGTGAGGGGAGGCATAACAGCAATGAGAAAAGTCTGATCTTGGGGGTCAGAATCCATCAGGATTGAATCTGTGAGTCCAAAACAGTAACTTTTCTGGGACGTGGGCACCCAACCACAGATCATTTATGTGTGTATTCATGTTCATGTTCATATAAATATATATTTTCTCCTTACTGAATGTAAGCTCCTGGAAGGCAGAGGAAGTTTCATTTTTTACTTTATAGCCTCAGTGTCCAGCACAGTGTAAGTGCTCAATAAATGCTTGTTTACTGATCAGGAAATGCTTCATGGAGGAGGTGGCATATGAACTGAATTTTGAAAGAGGCTAGGGATTCTAAGAGGACTAGAATTGAGGAGGACATTCCAGTAGATTGGAAGCAAGAACAGTCTTGAAAAGGCAAGAGAGATGGAATGTTGAATGTGAGGACAAGCTTGTAAACCAACTTAAGTTGGACCATCGTGGGGTAATAAGCTTGGAAAGGTTGACTGGAACCAGATTGATAAGGGCTTTAAATGCCAAAAAAAGGAGTTTGGTTTTGATACCATAGGCAAGAAACCATTGGAGCTTTAAGAGCAGGGAAGGGACAGGGTCAGGTCAGTGTTTTAAAAATAGCACATATGCAGCTAGGAAGGGGATGGGTTGAAGAGACTTCTGTGATTGTTAAGGCAAGAGGTGATGAGAATCTGAACTAGGACTGTGGCTTTGTGAGTGAGAAGAGGACATATTTGAGAGCTATGATAGATAGAGATACAAGACTTGGCAACTGTCCTGGGGGTAGGGGATGAGGCAGTGAGGAGGTGAGGATGTCTCTGAGGTTATATGCTTATGTATATGTATGTTTCTGTCCCCACTTTTTTTTTTTAAACACGGCAGACTCACTTCCTTCTTGATTGGTCACTCCCTTGAGTCACATTTCTGTCTAGTCTGGCTGGGTGATGACCCTGAATCGCTAGGCACTCCTGGGACCTAGTGCAGGTGAAACTAGATGACCTACCTGACACTTCTGCCTGCAGCCTGTGCCACGAGGCAGCTTCAGCCCTTCAGTGCTGGCATCTTGCAGCAAATGGGGAGATTAGTTAAGGGATATTCGGGTCCTCAAATCAGTGGCCTCCAAACATTTTTTTATCTCAAAATCCTATCAGTTAAAAAATTAGTGTGTAACCAATGTGTATTTCTCATTGTGCATTATCATTAGTAATGTTTACTAAACTTTATTTGGCATTTTAATGTTTGCAAAGATTTTTTTATCTCATTTGGTCCTTTTGACAACCTTGTGATGTAGGTGCTATTATTATCCCCATTTAAAAGAGAGAAGAAACTGAGGAAATCATATACATACACTAATATATCATGTACATTAACACACAAAATAGAAATTTGAAAGGATGAAGTAAATTTTTTTATTTCATTTATTTAGTTTATGATATCCCTTTGTTCTCATTATATTTTATTAAAACAATATTTTTAGCGAGACCAATGTAATTTCACATACCCCATTATTTTTAAAGCCTAAGTTTGGTACTATGTGATACAGCAATTCAAAGATCTGGTTCTGAGTTCAGTTTATTTAAATACTTGACTTTAATGGCTGTCATAGCTTGAAAAAAAAAGATCTCACAAAATATGTGTAACCAAATGAAAGAAAGATATCATTGTCTGTGCTTACTAAGTCATGATACTTATATTGCAATTCCAACCACCAATTATGCAAAGGTTTTTGGAAATTTACTAGACAAATTTCAATCTTCCCTAATTTCAATCAGTCCTTGCAAGCTAATTGAAAGGTGTTGCATTTTTGTATCTTTAATAAATGGGTTCAAAATTCATGACAACTCTTCCTCTAGAAGATTTTGAAACAGGTTAGAAAATTATGTTTCTAAATTTTAAAGTATGCAATTATGAGAGTTTTTATAGGTGACTCATCATTTTTGGCAACAAATGCTTAGTTTTTAAATGTCTTGCTAACTGTGATGGCTTCATACTAACATTTAATAATAGCTCAATGTACAATATGCAGTTAGGGCAAGGGTTCTTCACCTGGGGTCTGTGAAGCTGTTTTGTTGTTCTGTAATTTTGATAACTGTATTTCAATGTAATTGGTTTTCTTTGTTATGATTTTTAATGATGTTTGTTATGATTTTTTTCATTCATTTAAAAACATGATTCTGAAAAGGAGTTCATAGGTTTTACAAGGCTGCCAAAGGAGTTCATAATACAAAAAAGATTAAGAACTCCTGACTTAGGTTCATTATTAACAAAACAGGATATAAATTTATATTTCAAATAATATCTCGCAATAATTACAAAATTTTGGAAGCTGACTTCTTGTCAGATCTGATTAAGATTATCATTGTTTTTTTACCATGAATCTAGCACAGAGCTCTCTAAAAGTGCCAGCTCTGCCAATTTCTTGCCTTTATTTGTGCTTCGCAATATTAATATTACAATAATTAGTATTATCTTTCTTTGTGTGAATCTTTTTAAGTGCCTTGTCCATTTTACGAGAGATAGCTTAGTTAAAACTAGCTGATATAATTAATAAATCCACTTAACTGGGTACACTTAAATTGCAATGCTGTACAAATGAAATACAATGAAATCAAATGAATGAGTGTGTCGCTGTCAACTGTTCCACCATGTGGAACTCCTTTTCCCTTGGGATAATTTATTTGCCATATGTGGCACATGACCATCTGACATTCAGGCTTAGTGAAAACAATCGATCAGTCAATCAAATATTTATTAAGTACCTACTATGTGCCAGGCATTATGCTAAGAACACTAATGCTAATTTGTATATTAATTATTAGTAAGTACTAATTTATTATTTTAAAGTAGAGCTTCTAATATTTTCTTCCTACACCCCAAATGGTTTATCTTGCACACCCTGATTAGGTGTATTTACAGCACTGTGGAGACCGCTGTCATCTCAAACTAACCGGCTGAGGCAGTGACAGGAAACTGGAGCAGAGGGAGTGAGGAAAAGAGGAGAGGGTAGCCCAGACTTGAGGCAGGCAGGTGGAGGGTCAGAGAAAGCACCGAATGTTTACTTACATCAATCGGTTAGTACACACTCTAAAAAAAAAAAGAAGAGAGTGAAGAGAAGGGAAGGAGGAAAGCTTATGGAAAGTAGATAGCTCTCAAAGAAGAGGGAAGAAGGAGGAGGGGTGGATTAGGTTGGGGGAAGAGTCAGGGAAAGCTAGGACTAGATGACCTCTGCTCATAGAATCATCGGCTGAGATGTACAAAGTCCAACCAGAGGAGAGAATTTGAAGAGCTAGAGAGTGAATAGGCTGCTGCTTCTGTGACCTAAGGGAGCCAAAGATAAGCTGAAAAGAACCTCGACCCAGACTGTTGAATCTTTTCTCAACTGACTACCCTTTTTACACATTTAGTGGAGTGGGGCAGGAAGAGCAGTGATACTTCTCCCCTAGGTCTGTCATCCTAGAGATTTTCTCAGCCTGGGTCAGGTAGGTCATAATTGGGCCTGAGAGAGTGGGAAGCCTGGAATGGAGGTAGGGGAGGGAGAATGAGCCTGAAGTTGGGCGGAATAGATCTTGGGTATTGGTTTAAGGTAGAAATGTGGTCATAGTACCACTGTTTTCCAAGGTTTCTTCAGTGGAAAAGCTTCTGTGTCCTTCAGTGAGGCCTAACTCCTAGAAAGAACCTTTTCTCCCTACCCTTGTCTGATGGGACTTGAAGTGAAAACTGCCAGAGCATAAAAAAAGGTTGTTTAGCCCTATGACTCAATCTGATGCTGCTAGGCTGGGCCCAGAATGTGGAGAAATGTTGGAAGCTGTGGGGGGAGGAAGACCGTATATGATGAGAGAAGCCATAGACTCAAGCTATGAATTGGGGTTTTTAAAGGTGTTTATAGTTTTGGGGAAACCATTGAAAGATTTTCCACATGGTGGATGTAATTGGTGGTTTAGATAATCTAAGCATACCTAATAATACCTAGATGGATGATTTAGCAAAATTAAGTTGGGAGCCTGCAATTTAAACTTGTTCCTCTCCATGCATGAGCCTCCTTCCATTACTGAATTGAATGAATTTTAAAATACCCCTGCCCTTGGGTTCGACAGGTGGTGGTGGTAAAGACAAGAACTGGTAAAACAAGGTAAGTTTAAAGGACAATAGGATGGAAGGAAGGAGATCATGGTATTTAGGAAGGTTTAAGAAATCCCAGGCTTAGCCTTTGGTGGGACTAATGTTGAAAGAAAAGTGATGTGGGTACAACAAAGAACCTGGACATAGCCATCTAACTTTACTATTAGTACTCTCTCCTCCAGAGGCTGAGGATTCCTCTTGACTCAGATGGTATCATGTTTCTTTCAAGGGCTCAAGCATTACCGAACTCTGAATTATCTGAATTGTGAATGGACCTGTGAAGCTTCTGAGATCCCTTCCCTAAGCAAATGGCCAAGGGGCTATTGGTAACCTATGCTCTTTGGGCAACAGGGGGCCCTGTTGGGCTCCATCATCTATACCTGGGGCGTGATAGCCATGCCTTGTTATGGATGCTTACTTTGGGAGGAGGTGGGTTGGGTTGGCTCTTGGAGTTCTGGAAACTCCCCAGCTTTGTGGCACAAGCCAATCAAGCCCGGGAGCAAAGGAGGAACCATGAAGAACTCATACCCAGTCTAAGTCCATTGCGCTTTGTTGCCCAGATCCTGGTGGGCATCTATTTTGGCTTTGTGGCCTTGATTAGCCTGTCATTCATGACCAGCTTCTACGTGGTAGGTCTTCCATTAGCTGTTGGTTTAGGGGTATTGTTAGTGGCCACTGTGGGCAACCAGACTTCAGACTTTAAGAGTACTTTAGGGGCAGCATTTTTTACCTCTCCTCTTTTCTATGGCCGCCCCATAGCCATTCTGCCCATTAGCTTGACTGCCAGCATCACAGCACAGAGACACCGCCGCTACAAAGCCCCTTTGGGGGCTGAGACTCTCACTCTTCGGCTCTACCGCCTGGGACTTGCTTACCTGGCTTTCACGGGCCCTGTAGCCTACAGCATCTTCTGCAACGTGGCTGCCACTCTCCAATGTGTAACAGAGGTCCTTGGCTCCTTCTTGTATTGGTTCACCTTCTTCCCTGTCTTCAGCCACATCGTGGAGTCTATCCTTATCCTACCTTACCAGGTCTGGCTTCTGGTGGGGAATCCTGGTTTCGTCAGTGTCTCCTTTCAGGAGTGGGAGAAGCTGTTCGAGTTTGTCAGAAGCTTTCAGGATGAGAAACAGCAGCTAGCTTACCAAGTAAAGTTTTCTGGGTTTTGTTTTGGTTTGGTTTTGAATTTGCCTAAGCCTGTGCTTCAAGGCAAGGGTTTGGACTAGTTAATGTCTTCTTAGAGCTGATGATTCTTATATGGCAGTATTGTGCTCGCATCTGCCAAAACCAATTCAATAAACATTTATTAAGCACCTACTATGTGCATAACACTACAAAAATACAATAGTATCAGCCCTCTAGGATTAGTCTATTGAGGAAATAAAACATGTACACAGATTAAAAAAAACCGCCACCACAACAAGGTAATTTGAGAAGTGGAAGATCACTAATAACTTGGGAAGTCATCCGGAAGACTTCATTAGAGGAGGTGGCATCTGAGTTAATCCTTGAATGATGACAAAGTTTCTGAGAAGCTAAGATGAGGAAGGAATACATTCCTGAAATGGGGTAGAACTTATTGTGAATAAACCACAGAAAGTATGCCCAAGGAAGAATCTAGTTGAGTTTAGCTCCTGGGAGGGAAGGGTGATCAATTGAGTCTCCCATCCATTTAATGAAGTTGCACGATGTACTGGGCAGGTAACAGCTACAGTGAGTTGTTAAGGTTTAAGGTTTTGCCCTCTTTCGGACTTTGAATGGTTGTATTAATAGCTTGTAAAGGGCACAAAACATGGAGGGGTTCACATCTTGAGTATGTTCACAGACTATAAAGATTATAAAAGTAGAATTGGTCCATTTGAATCTTGTAAAAGTTTTCTGACTTGATGGGCCAGTGTAAAGAAGTGTTCCTTTAGAAAGAATAAGAAGTTCCACAATCAACACGATGGAATTATAGGGTTGCTGTTTATTGGCTAAAGGATTAGCCATTGCTCTGATGGCCTTAAAAACATGTCAAGAGCAAGATTTCAGAAAGTCTGTTCTGGCAGTAGAGAGAGAGAGAGAGCTAGCTATGGAAGAAAATCACAGCTCTCAAAAGGAAGCGTTCTTCCACTCTTCTCTCGTACCTCTTTTAGAATGTGGGGTGGAAAGAAGGAGATTTATTTCTCTCTTCCTCATTCATAGGCAATAACATCTTATAATAGTGCAATTTACCTAGGAGGAGATGCTGCATACAGCAGAAAGCAGGCCCCCAGAATCTAGCTGGAGAGTCAGGTTGAGCTGTGGAAAGGAGCTGGCCTTGGGAGCCCAGCAGAGTGACCTTCCCAGCAGAAGAACATTAGAGGAGAAAAGATACCAGGGACCTGCAGCGCCAGCCAGAGGTGTGAGTTGCCTTGGCTGCCTGTGTTTCCTGCCTGTTTACCTCTCTACTAGTGAACACTATGTATGTGCCCACCTTTTCCACTGAGATATTATATGCATTTGTGGTAGAATGTGCCTCAGGTTTATGGAAGGGAGGGGGGATGTTTTGTAACTACTACTCTTTTTTTTATTTTTAAGCGATTTGGGGTTACATGACTTGCCCAGGCTCACACAGCTACTAAGTGTCAAGTGTTTGGTCTGAGGCCGGATTTGAACTCAGGTCCTCCTGACTTCAGGGCTGGTGCTCTATCCACTGCGCCACCTAGCTGCCCCTACTACTCTTACTATTCTGTTTAAAAGAATGAATTTGCTTTGAGCTAATTATGTCTTCTGGATGACTATTAAAGGTAGGGACATTGGTAGGGTGTGATGAACTATAGTTTTAGAAGTGCAGATCCACAGAGGACCCTGAACCCGGAGTAGTCATCTCTCAGAGGACCCCAGCCTGTGAATGAGAGTTGGTAGAAGGGGGTATTATGAGGTAAACCAATAAATCAATAAACATTTGTGAAGCACCTACTATGTGCCAGGCACTTTGCTAAACACTGGGGATATAAAAAGAGTCAAAAGATAGTCCTTGCTTTTAAGGAGCTTACAATCTAATGGGGAAACAACATGCAAACAAATATATATATATATATATATATATATATATATATATATATATTATATATATATATATATACATATATATATATATATATTATATACATATATATATATGTATATATATACACACACACACATATACACACATACATACACACACACACACACTATATATATATATATATATATATACATATATACAAAGCAAGCTGAGTGGGTGATAAGGCAGTGAGTGATTATGGCTATAGATGACTCATAGAGTTTGGAAAGCAAAGAAATAGAAAAGGAGAATAATAGCTTAGGGTAATAAATAGGAAATAATTAGCAGAGGGAAAGTTAAAGGACATTCTGCACTGAATGTGTTTCCTCATACGAGGGATGAACATAGAGATTTTATTTTGGCGTTGATAATATCTTCCTGATGAAACATTTAATATAGTACTTTAAGATTTGCAAAGCAGTTTGTATATTACCTTCCTTAATTCTTAAATAATTCTGAGAGATAGAAGTTGTGAATAACTTGTCCAGGATCAGACATCCTATAAATGTTTGAGTGGGGATTTGAACCCAGGTCTTTCTGACTCTATGTACAGCCCTGGGGTGTGAACTATCCTTGATCTGGGTGATTTGATTCACAGCCAGTTTTGAGGCACCTGAGCTAATCTTTGGACTTTAGAAAAAGGAAGCTAGAGAGCTGGAGATGTGTTTGGAGGAGAAAGTTTATAGACATATAGATCCAATTTTTTTGGAAGCAACTTCATCATTAAGGAAAATGGTTCCTTTAGTGGACCATGCCGTCCCAGGAAAGGAGGAACCACAGTACTACAGAGATGCTATCAGCAAAGAGGTTCACGGACCAGTAAAAGAACTGTTGGTCCATGCCTCTTGGAAAGAGGAGGAATTTTGAATATTTATGAGTACCTGGACCATAGGAAGTTGTTCTAGAACCAAGCCAGAGTCAGAGGGGAGAAATGGCAAGGGATAAAGCCACAATGTAGAATAATAATGCATTTCTTACCCTCCTCTAAGACTATGAAATATGTAGACTGTGGGCCCAAGGGTAAAACAATCAACTCTTTAGTGATCCATGGTTCTCTCCCCTAGCCTTAATACCAGGGTAGTGCTATAAGTTTAAAGGATCATATAGACACCTGGAGGTAAAAGGATTCACTGTAAGGAGTGGATTTTGACCTCCTAACTCCCCAAACTGCTTCCTCCTTGGTGACAGTGGTGAAGGTTCTCAACCTTAAGATAAGAGCATGGGTCTGCAGGATTGTATAGGTTACTAGGAAAAGTAGAAGCTCGCAGGATAGAGAAGAGTTGTCTTGACTGTGGACTCAAGAGCAAATCCTTTTAAGTCTTTATGTTTTCAGCTGGGTTAAATGAAACCTGTCCTGTGTATGATGTATTGTTAGCTAGAGTACTTGCATATGATCTGAGGAGTCTTTGACCTTTTCTGTAAAGACCTGGGCATAAGCTATATTTTGATATTGCCAAAGGAAGTCCTGGTATGGTAGAGAAAAGCTTTAAAAAAGTGATTTTTGAGATTCTCCTAAAATTGAAGCTGGTTTCAGTATAGGACAGAGCTTCTGTCCTAAGCTACAGCTTAAAATATGATGGAAGATGAAGTGCTAAGTTGTAGAAATAGCTAGTGGCCCAGAATATGGGATACATGATGGGAAGTAGTTTGAAATAACACTGGAAAGGTTTTATTCTTTCTATCTATCTATCTATCTATCTATCTATCTATCTATCTATCTATCTGTCTGTCTGTCTATTGTTGGAAAGCCGGATTCCAGAGAGCAGAGGGGGATAGATTCATGTTTAAGGAATGAGAGAGAGAAAAAAATGAATTCAGGAGTGAAGACTAAAGAAGGAAAATCTGGAAAAATGGTGTCATGGAAACCAAGGGAGGAATTGTTGCCAGTAGTGTCAAAAGCTACAGAGAGATAGAAGATGAGCACAGATATTTAACAGCTAAGAGGTCATTTGGTAACCTTTGAGAAAGCAGTATCAGTAGAGTGGTGTAGCTACATTTCAAGGAGCTGAGAAGTGAGTGGAAAGAAAAGGCAGTGAGTGATTATTGCTATAAATGACTCAAGGAGTTTGTCAGTGAAAGAAATAGAGAGAACAGTAGCTTGAGATGATGAAAGGGTCCACTGAAGGGTTTTTGTGTGTTTGTGTATGTGTGTGTTCCATTTATTCTCTTAAAAACCCCAAACATTTTATTGATGCCTTTTGTTTTTATGCCATTTTCATTTCCCATCCACCCCTCCAGATTGAATTATCCTTTGTGACAAAGAAAAGACAGTGAAACAAAAACATCTAATGTAGAGGAGGGTTATAATATTGTTTGTTTGTTTTTTGCTAGGCAATGGAGTTAAGTGACTTGTCCAGGGTCACACAGCTAGTGAATGTTATATGCCTGAGGTCGGATTTGAACTCAGGTCCTCCTGACTCTGGGGCTGGTGCTCCATCCACTGCACCACCTAGCTGCCCCACAGGGTGTATTTTGTATATAATATTCTGTCCTAGTGGTCTTCTACCCTAAGGGAAGAGATAGGTTGTAATATTTCATTTCTGGAATCTTAATTTTTTTTTCAACTTTCACTGATCTTTTCTTTTACAGTAGTGTAGTTATTGTGTATGTTTGTAGCAAGACTCTGTACTTACTCTCCCATCTCACACTTGGATTAACAGGATAGGTTCCCAGAGTTCAGCTGGTTACATCTCCCCATCATGGTTTTTGGGATACCACTATGAGGTAATGGGATTCTTCTGTTTCTTTTGTTTTGTTTTGTTTTTGGTGAGGCAGTGGGGTTAAGTGACTTGCCCTGGGTCACACAGCTAGTTAAGTGTTATGTGTCTGAGGCCGAATTTGAACTCAGGTCCTCCTGAATCCAGGGCACTGCGCCACTTAGCTGCCCCCAGGTTCTTTTGTTTCTATTGTCTTGAGTCCCCATTTAGGTGTATTTCTTCCAAAATCAATTAATTATCTTTTCCTTATCCTTGATACTATTGATCAGTTACCCATTATCAATTTAACTAGTTAATACCTTAGTATCATTGATAATCTATTAACATGAATTGGCTTTTACAAAGGGATATTTACCAAGAAGAATAAGCAGGAACAGAAGCTTAGACACATTCCCCTCTCTCCAAACTGGTGGCATATTCTCCCCTCCACCATCTTGGTCCCTGGGGAGACTGGATTCAGACTTAAAGCAGCTACTATTCACGTCACTTCTAGATGTGGCATAGCCAATGAATAAGTTTCTCCCCATTGCTTGCAAGACACAGTACTTCAATTGCTGGGTCAATGCACTGCTAGGCTAGGTCAAACATGTTGCTGCTCAGGTTGAGTCCTTCCTGGGCTTCAGCACTGTACATCTGATGACTTTTTTGACCTTCTGAGACCTCAGAACGCCAAAGGAAAGAAGATAGATGGAGGAAGCAGCCCCATCCTAGTCATAGACTTGCTTATGGGTTCCCCAGCTGACTTGGTGGGAAGGAAGGACGCCTTCTCAGGGGTCTGTTAGCACTCAGAATATAATCCCTATACCTTGCAGCAGGAAGGAGAGGTCAAGCTCCTCAGGTGGACCTCTTTTGTATATACACTAAGTTAAGGCTGAGCAGCCAATTAAAAGGCTTTTTTTCATCAGGTAGAAAGTGGACAGGAAACAATCACAGCATACCTGCTTGTGCTTTGCATCAGAAGCAAGACTCCTCCATTGCATGTCATCACATACTTCCAGGAGTAGGCTCATACAGTCCCCCTATTTGGATTGGCAACAGGCAGCACCTCATGCCCATGCACCCAGAACTAGGCCATTATTGGCTAACTTCATCTCCCTTCAATCCCCATTGTTCCTTTGGTTCCATTTATTTCAGTCTTTTTGTACAAATCTCCCCATGTTTCTCTGAATTCCTTATATTTCCTCACTGCACAATAACATCCCATTACATTCATAAACCATTATTTTTTTCCAGCTACACCCCCATCAGTGACACAATGGATAGAGTGCTGGACCTGGAGTCAGGAAGTCCTCACTTCAAATTATACCATAGACACTTACTAGCTGTGCGATTGTGGGCAAGTCACTTAATCTCTGATTGTATCAGTTTCCTCATCTGTGAAATGGGAATAATATTAATATATGCCTCCCAGGATTGTCGCAAGGATAAGATGAGATAATATTCATAAAGTACTATATAAATGCTAATGTTGTTATTATTATTGTTAATTTGGGGGCATCTACTCTGTATTGCTCTGAATATTTTGGTATACTGGAACTTAGTTTCTGTCTTGACTCCTTTGGGGATATATAACTAGTAGTGGGATTTCTGAATCAAAGGCTATGGATAGTTTAGTCACTTTTCTTGTATAATTTCAAACTGAAATCTAAAACGATTGGGCTACTTCACAGTTCCATCAACAGAGAAGTAGTGTTCCTATCTTGTCATAGCTCCTCCAGCATTGATTGAATGTTTCCACATTTTTTCATCTTTGACAATTTGCATGGTATGAGGCGGAATGTCAAGTGTTTTAATTGCAATGGTTACAAGTAATACAATGATCGCAGTTAATGAAAAATATTAATGATTTAGAGCATGTTTTGATGTCAAATTTGCAGTTCTTCTTTTGAAAACTTTATACTCTTTGATCATTTATCTACTGAGAAATTGTTCTTGGAGTTACAAATCTATGTCAGATTTTTGGATATCAGACTTAACAATGAAACTTGATACCAAAACCCCTCCACCCACCTACTTTACGATTCCTCTTCTAATTCTATTTGAATTTTTTTTTAAGGATGGAGAAACCAGACCGTGTTAGTAGGCAATGGGAAAGGAGCCAGTAAATAGAGACTGGAGATGAAAGAAGGAATGATCAATGAGATAATCTGAAGGAGATAACATTCAAGGAAACAAGTAGAAAAGCGATGAGAAGGGCTAGGCAAGTGAAGATATAGAGGGGGTGTAAGGGTAGGTAGGGTAAATAAGGGAGTGCTCAAAAGAAGGCCTCGATTTCCTCAATAAAGTAAGCAGAGAGCTTATCTGCTGAGAGACAATGGCAAGGTTGATTTGAAGAAAGAGAACAGTTTGGAAAAACCACCAGTAGCATCAATCAAAGAAGAATAAAAAGATTATTTTGCATTGGTAAGCACAAAGTTGAGATTGGATATCACAAATCTGTAGCATTTCCAGTTGACCTGGTTGCATGACTTCTTCCAGACTATGACTTAGAAGGAAAACCATTTCTCTAAGGTTCCTGAGCATAGGATTAGGTGATAAACTCCCATAAGCCAGTTTATCCCTATGGGTATTTACAAGTGGGAGCTAACATCAATGGATCTATGATCTTATTGATGCCAGTTCTCCCTTAAATGGTGGGATTGCTACTCATCCTTGCCTCCTCATCTTTCTACTGTTTCTTTCTTTCTTTCTTTCTTTCTTTCTTTCTTTCTTTCTTTCTTTCTTTCTTTCTTTCTTTCTTTCTTTCTTTCTTTCTTTCTTTCTTATGTTCTACTCTTGTCCATATATCTGGGAAATCCTCATGGGAGTTGCATTTAACATGCTTCCTCTACATCTCTTGACCCTGTGCCAGGAAACAATGGAGCACACAAATTATCCATCCCTTGCTCTCATTGCATGACTGGTGTGGCCTTCCCCCCCCCCCACTCCAGCTCACCATTTTTACAGTCCTAGATCTCCTCTGTGATTTCCTTTATGTCACTTTTGGTACACAGTTTGTTGTTAGTTATATGCCTGGTATATAGTAGATGCTTGCTAAATACTTGTTGATTTATATGTGTGGCCTATTCATGCAAACTTTAAATCTATTGTCCTTTGGATGAAAAGTAATTAATACTTTAGAGACTATGGCATTCCATTATCCACACCTATAGATCATAACTGGAAGAAAATTGAGGTTGAAAAGATTAGCCTTTATTACATGTCGTTAAAAACACTGTACAGGGTCAGCTAGGTAGCACAGTGGATAGAGCACCAGCACAGAGTCAGGAAGACCTGAGTTCAAATCAGACACTTACTAGGTGTGTGACCCTGGGCAAGTTACTTAATTCCAATTGCCTTAACAACAACAATAACCACAACAAAACCACAACAAAAACAACACTGTACAGTTTCCAGCCTATTCTCTTCTTTCTATTCAATCTTGGGTCTAGTTCTCAATTAAGGCATAACACAGGGTAAGGTATAGTGTTTGCCACCGTCATATAGGATGTTCAGCACAAAATCCAAATGGAATATAATGAGGTTTTCCCATGCTCCTAATTGTAGATAGTATTTTGCTGATTATATCAAGCCCTGGAACACAGTACAGTCTCCTAAATGAGATCCATAACCATTCAAAAGAATTTTTGAACTATCCATGCAGGAAAAACCAAGTGCATGAAGAATGTCTATTGTCCAGACTGTGATAATGCAGTTACATGGACAACCCATAGAACTGGTGCCTTACTATTATAATAGTAATAATAATAACAATAATAATAATAGCTGATATTTATATAGCACTATGTGCCAGGCACTGTGCTAAGAACTTTAATAATAATAATACTAGCTAACACATATATAGCACTTACTATATACCGAGTACTATGCTAAGCATTTTACAATTTTAAAATGTTATCATCTCTTTTGATCTTTACAACAACCATGTGAGGAAGGTGCTATTATTATCTCCATTTTACAGATAAAGAAACTGAGGTTAAGTGACTTGCCCAGGGTCATACAGCTAATAAGTATCTGAGACCAGATTTGAACCTACATTTTCCTGACTTCAAGTCCAGTGCTCTAAGCCATTACACCATCCAGCTGCCCCTATATACATATCCAAGTTGGAATATAAGAAGACAAAACTAGGGGCAAATGCTGGTTTAAGAGTTTGTTTTCCTAAGACCATTCATCCTTGGGAAGAATGGGGCTCAATTCTCAAATTAAGGTCCCAACATACAGGTCTAGGGGAAGCTAGGTGGCACAGTGGATAGATAGCTGGGCCTGGAGTCAGGAAGACTTGAGTTCAAATTCAGCCTCAGACATTTACTGGCTGTGTGACCCTGGGCAAAGTCGTTTAACCTCTGTTTGCCTCGGTTTCTTCATCTATAAAATGAGGATAATAATAGCACCTATCTCCCAGGGTTGTTGTGAGGATCAATTGTAAAGCACTTAACACAGAGTCTGGCATATAGTAACCATCATATAAATGTTAGTTATCATTATTATTATTATTCCATTGCTCAAAAACTTTCAATGGTTCCCCATTGTCTATGGAATAAATTATAGACTTCTTAGCCCAGCATGGAAGGCTTTCCACCTTCTATCTCCAATCTGCCTGCCAGCTTTCTCTCACACTAGTCCCCCTGCTACATTCTATACTTCAGCAAAAGAGAACTATATCTAATGCTTTCCTACCTGTAAGCTTTTGCTAACATTGTTCCAATTCTTGGGATATTCTTCTTGCCCTTCTCTATGTGTTGACATCCTACCCATTTTTTTAAGGTCCAGTTTAAATGCTACCTCCTCCATGAAGTCTTTTGAGATTTCCCTTAGCTGAAAGTGATTCATTCAACTCTTGTTCAATGGATATTAATTAAGTACTTGTAATGGAAAAACTTTTTTTGAGCATTCTTTCTAAGGAAAGTTGTGTTCTGTTTTTGAAGTGATGAGGTAAACATAAACTTTAATTGTATGATTCTGCATATGGGCATGTATGTATAGATAGCTAGTTAATCCAGTGATTACTTCATAGTAATTTGGATGGAGCACCAAAAAACATACCATGCAATTGGGAACCTTTCTAAGTGATTAATGATAACTTTGGGATCATGGAATATACCAGCAAGCTCCATCTAGAGAACCTAGGTGAACAAATATTTGTTTAATGAAAAAAAAAAAGAGTTATCTGTCAACTATGGTGTCTAATACCATGGTCTACCACTCATTGTCCACTCATCCATCCAGAGCATGATACAAAATGGACTGTCTGGAGGGGCAACAATCATTGCCAACCCACATGATTCCACTTTGTCAGCTTCTTTTCTTTTCCCCAAGGTTTTGGGCCTTAGTGATGGGGCAACATCTGATGAAATCAACCGGAGCTATCGGGAATTAGTGAAGATTTGGCACCCAGATCACAACAGGCACCAAGTGGAGGAAGCTCAAAGACACTTCTTAGAGATCCAGACTGCTTATGAAATCCTCAGTAGGTCTAGGAAGTCCAGAGACTACTGACAAGTTGGAAAAGCAAGGCAGTGAGGTATTAAGAAGCCTGTCCTTTGCCATGGGCATTTCCTGGGAAACTCTATCTCTGCAGGTTTAGTTACTATATTTCTCCCAACAGAATCAAGGGAGAGGGTGGTGAATGAAGCTTCCATTGTTGGGGATGAAAAGACTTTATTGCGTTAGGAAATATTGATTTATGATAAAGTTTTTAATCTCATGGTTTTTGTTTTCTTTATTGTTTTTAAACCTTAAATAATGATAGCAAGGGGAATGCTATGAAAGATAAAAAAATAATTGATCTTTCATGACACACGTCATCTATTTTGGTCCCTCCTCCCCCATGCACTGGAGATGGCAGTTTTGGAAAGGTAAATTCAAGGAGTCTATTAACATTTGTTCATTTTTTGAGTGTCTTTTCTATGCAAGGCACTGTGCCAGGTACTTTTAAATATACAGAATAAAAACATGGTTTCTTCTAAAACCAGTACACAAATAAATGTGATGCAACACAAGAAGGTGCCGTGTGCCATGAGAGAAACAAAGTGCTATGAGAATTAGGAGGCAGAAATCATATCTGTTTGGGAGGATTAGAGAAAGCTTTAGTAATCCCACTACTTCCATATTTCACCCATTAAGTAGGACTATTGATTAACCAATCAACAAGGATGGATTAAGTGTTTAATATGTGTTAGGCAATATATTAGGGGCTAGGGATACAAAGATATAAATGAAGCAGTCCTGACTCCAAGAAGCTTGAATTCTATTAAGTATATCTGCGCTTGGAAGGAAATACAAAATACGGGGTATACCAAAAGTAATATTTGTTAGAGGGAAGGGAATCACCAGCAGTTTAGAGGATCAGGAAAACCTTCAAGTAAGCATAGGCTCTTGGGCTCAATTTTGAAGGAAGCTAGGAATACCAAGAGGCAAAGTGGAAGACAGGATGAATTCTAGGTGTGGAGAGCAAGCCTTTGCAAGAGCACAAAGATGGGAGATGGATTGTTGTTTGTAAGGAACAAAGCAGACTAATTTGACTAGACTGTAGAGTAAATGAAGAGGAGTAATGTGTCATAAGCCTGGAAAAGTAGGCTGGAGTTAGGTAATGAGAGCCTGAAATGTGAAACAGAGTTGTTTGTATTTGATCTATGGGATAATATGGAGCCAGGGCAGCTAAGTGGTGCAGTGGAACTCTTCTTGAGTCCAAATCTGGCCTCAGAGACTTACTAGCTATGTGACCCTGGGCAAGTCACTTAACCTGGTTTTTCTTCAGTTTTCTCATCTGTAAAATGAACTGGAGAAGGAAAAGGCAAACCATTCCAGTGTCTTTGCCAAGAAAACCCCAAATGGGGTCATGAAGAGTTGAATATGACTAAACAATATGGAGCCACTGGATTTTTTTGAGGAGGGGAGTGATATAGTTGGGCCTGTCCTTTAGGAATACTACTTGGTGGGCCATGTGGAACTAAGATGTCAAACATTTGATTAAAATGTAATTGGGGAATGTTTAACGAAATAATATGCAATGGAACATAGATAATGTTAATATATAGTTGTTTAAGTCAATGTGCATCCCACAGGGATCTTTATGTATGGTTTAGTGGCCCATTTCTATTTAAGTTTGAAACCATTGATGTGGAGGATGGATTGAAGATGGGAGACACTTGATCCAAGGAGACCAATTAGATAGCTATTGCAATAGTCTGAGAGAGATGATAATGAGTACCTGAACTAGGGTGGTAGCTTTGTGGGAATAGAGGTGGATATATTTGAGAGAAGTTGTGAACATATGCTTGGTTCTATTTAGCAACTAATTTTATGGGAAGGTAGGTAGGTAGAGTAAAGAATCGAGGAAACTTCAGAGTTTCAAGAATGGATGACTAGAAGAATGATGGTAACCTGGGAGAAAAAAGGGAAATCTGAGAGAGGGATGGGGTTTTTTTTGGGGGGAAGATAGATTCTGCAGGAATATTGGGAGAAATAAATGTATGTGTGACTTAGATACAAAAGGTTATATTATAAATAGAGGAATAAGGAAGAAATTAACTTTAGGACCTATGGATTCATGACCAAACAAGGGACAGAGAAGATTACCGAAGGTAAACGGACAATTTTGCTTCCATAACACTAAAAAGTTTTTGCACAAGCAAAACCAAAGCAGCTAATATTAGAAGAGAAACAGCCAACTGGGAGAAACTGTCTGTAGCAAGTTTCTCTGATAATATGAAAATCTTCTCTAAATCAATAAGAATTAAAGAAATGAAAATCAAGGCAACTCTGAGGTTCTATCTCATATCTACCAGACTGGCAAAATTGACAATTAAAGAAAATTACAAAGGTTGGATGGACTGCTGGAAAATAAACGCATTAATATACTCTCGGTAGAGCCAACTGTTGGAAAGCAGTTTGGAGCTATGGCCCAAAAGTCACTAAACCGTGAGTATCCTTTGACCTAGCATCAGAACCCAGAGGTCTCCAGAGGAGAAAATGAGGCTGGTGACTTTGTACAACCCTCCCTCACTTAAATCCAATTCCCTTGCTAGTCATCTTCCTGATGCCGTGATTCTGATCTAGAACAAAGTACAAGCAACAACAATACTGCTAGGGCTATACTTCAAAGAGATGGAAGAAAGAGGAAAATGACTCATATATAAAAAAAATTTGTAGCATCTCTTTTTTGTGGTGGCAAAGAATTTGAAACTAAGGATATGCCTATTAACTGGGGAGTGGTCAAACAAATTATGGTACAATGAATGTAATGGAATACTATCATGCCTTAAGAAATGATGAAAGGGATGGTTTTGGAGAAGCTGAAAGAACTAATTTGGAGTGAAGTGAGAAGAACAAAGAGAATGATTTATGTCATAACAACATTTTAAAAAGAACAACTTTGAAATACTTAGTATCTCTGATCATCAACACAAGGACTAACTATGATTCCAGGACAGATGATGAAGCATACTACCCATCTCCTCACAGAGCTGTGATGGACTCAAGATGAGGAATGAAACATAAATTTTTGGACATAAGCAGTGTGGGAATTGGTTTTACTTGACCACATATATTTATCACAAGGGTTTGCTTTTTCTTTTTCCAATGTGTGTATGTGTATGTGGGGGTTGGAGAGGCTAGGTAGGAAGAGGAAATGCTTCTTACATTTTTTTAAAGGTGGGGCTGAGATCTTGGGAGGCTCAACTGTCCCTCAGGCTTATTTTTTTTAAGGGTCAGGAGTTTTATTTTTCTCCTTATATCTTTTGCATGTAGTAGGTACATAATACAATTTTATGGATTACATGAAGATCTGTGTAGCAAGTCTTTATCTGACTTAGGGTTGGAAAGTTCATTTGACTCCCATCAGTTCCTGATTGTCAGTCTGCAGTGACAAGAAGACTCAGACATTGAGCGGCCCTTTGATTGACAGAGAAAGCTGTGGTCATGCTTTCCCCCACTCATTGTCTATTTCTTGGATTCATCTTGAGAAGCAGTGTGGTGTGGACAGAAGAGCAGTCTTAGAGTTAGGAGAACTGGGTTGGAGTCTCTCAGTGGAGGCTAGATGATGACTTGCTGGGGCCAAGTTCAGAGGCCTACTTCTTTCCCTTGAGCAGGATGCACTGAACCTGGGTGATGGTTCCAGGCAAAGGTTGCCCTAGGGCCCAAGGCCATTGCCATGGGCCCCATGCTGTAGCTGCTTCCCCTCCCTCCTCCTTCCTTTCCCAGGTGAAGGAGGGTGCAATCAAAGGTGAGGGGGAAAAAGTGAAACTCTTCTCCTACGAGAGGGGTTAACAATACCCTCTTGACTCAAGGGAAGGGTGTGACCAGGGTTGTAAGGAGGTGTTTCGAAACTCCTTAATGATCAATCACAAAACCTCCAGACTCTGCCAAGATATTTTTAGCTGTTCTAACTTTTCCCTGTAACCTCCATGAAGGAGAATTCAGGGGTGCAGAGGGAAGGGAGTATGTAAGCCTCAGGGAACCAAAAAACAACTGCATTTTCCCCAATTCTCTAGCACGGAGAGCACTGACAGAATTGGGCATACACTTCTGCATAGGGCATCTGTCTTTGTCCTCTATGCTGAGGAAGGTGTACCCAGGTCCATGACCTCAAACCGACCCAGTGGACTGATAGCCTGAGAGCCTCAGGCCAAGTGTGAGACAGCTTCATAACTGTCTGCCTGAAAAGCACCTCCAAGCCTTGGTGCTTGGAGAGCGACCCCAACTGCAGAGCAAGAAAAGCGGGGCTGGGGGGTTGGGGAGAGGCTTACATACCTTCAAGTCTTGGCTAGAGAAGAACTTGGGGTTAGGCAGTTTCTCCACACGGGCCACCAAAATGATGAGGTTTAGGTGTTTAGGGGTGCTGGGACTCCAAAATCAGAACACGCAGGTCCTGTCCAAAAGAATTCGACCCAAGCCCTCTTTCAGCCAAAGACAAGGTTTATTAGAATATCTGTCATATTGGGCAGACTCTTAAGGGGTCTGAACATTAGTAAGCTATTGGCTAGATTATAAGAATCTAAGCCCAGGCTTATTTTTTAATGTTGATTTAAAAAAAAAAACATGTAACAAGGGGCTGTACTATGCATTCCATGGAGCATACTCACAGTTGCCTTTTCTGGTTCTGGTCACCTACTTTGGGGCTGCTTCTTGCTACATAGTGATGAAGTGCTAAAAGGATTTGATATTTTAGTAAGATATGACAAACCCAGTGTGGCCCTTAGCTTCCATCCTGCCCAGTTTTAGATATAATAGACACTTTTCAACAAATACTTTTTACAAACATCTCTTGAAAGATTCTATATAGATTTTAACACAAAGGTTATGCTTTTTAAGCAATATAATTGACTGAGATTTTTTGTCTCTTTATGTCATCTCTTTTATTTTTAATCCAGAAAAACAGGATTTGAATCTGAAGTATTGTGATATTTTACTATCATGAATCAAAATCAGAAGAGACATGGATTTAAATCCTGCCCCCATACTTAGTAGCTCTTCTTAACAGGGGTTGAAATTTGTTGTTGAGTGACAAGTATTCCTTCTTAGACCAGAGAGAAATTTGGATTCTTTCTGAGCCAGAAGTCAGATTTGAGTCAGACATGGAAATTTTTAAAGAGACACACATGGTCTGTGAGAGTGGACTGAGGAGTGGAGACCACAAGAGCTGAGGAGGAGCAGTAGCAGTGGGGAAGAAGATGTTCCCAGCCCCACCCAGGACTGAAGAAATTGGGGGGGAAAGAATTGGTGATATAAGAGCCATAGGTCAAACAAGAAAATGAAAGGAGAGCTGAGCTGTGGTGGATCTGCAGGCATCTGAAACAGAAAACTCAGATTGAAGCTGCTGGTTCTAATCATCCCTTAGAAGATTGGGGGAAGTTCCAAAGAGTCTCCTCTTTCCACTATTTCCCCTTCCCTGTGCCTGACCAGGAATAGGCATTAATAAAACATTCTGTTTCTCTTTCCTGTATCTTGATTTTTTCCCTTAAATTTAAAGAAACAAATAGCTGGAAATGCATACAATTTAAAGTAGGGCAGGGTCAAAGCTCCCTCTGAATGCCAGAGATTTTCCTAACTGGGGGCTATGAGCTAATGTGATTGTATTAACAACTTTTCAGTCAATAAAAATTTAGTTTGATATAAACATCATTTGGGGCTGGGGGGAGGAAGTGAACCTGAAGGTTATTATATTGCCCTAGGCTAAAGTTGAATTAACAGTGTGTGGTTCTTAACAGCTTCTGATTTTGAAAAAAGGAGGGAGACACGGTGGAGATGGGAGATCGATGAAATTCAGCTTTGCCTCTCCTAGAAGGTAAAAGGAAGCAGAAAAAAATCAAGTACTTTATTTTGGGGTCATCCACCTGTTATTTATAGACATATACATGTATATATATATATATATATATGTATATATGTGTATATATGTATATATACATAAGTAACACACACACACATATATACATATACATATATATATATGTATATATATATATATATATATATATATATATATATCACCTCAGGCAAATCATTTAATCTATCTCAGCCTCCTCTGCAAAATGGGGTAATGCCTATAGTCATCTCATAGTGTTGTGTGGATCAAATAAAATAATATATGGAATATTCATGACTAGACCTCAAAGTGCTATATAAATGCCAGCTAGTACTTTCATTATTATCTGATGGCCTGTTATGTAAAAAAAAGACTTTTTTTTTAGATTGTAAGACTCTGTCCTTATTGGTTTAGAATACATTTTTGAGTAAGACAGCTTATACTTTTGCGGTCTTCATTTGCAAAATTTGTAGATTGGACTGGATAGGAGTCTTAGGTCCCCTCTAGCTCTAATTTCTGAGATTCTGTGAAAAACATTTACCTTATGCACTGTTTTTCCTCTCTCCTTGTACTGGTCCTCTTGCTTATCCAAAATGGAATACCACAGCTACACTATCCTCTCAAAAGCCATCTGGTGTCCTATGAAACTGAATACTTCTATAGGGGAAGAAAACAGTTCATCCTCAAATCATTTTAGACCTTGGAACTCCTCTTAACTTTTTCCTTAGAAACCTAGAATGCTAGACCTGGAAAGGTCGTTCTTATGGTGCAGATGAGGAAACCGAAGCCCATAAGCTCATAAATTTAGCTTGTGGTAGAATTAGGGCCAGAGCCCAGGTCTTCTAAGTTTTCTATTTAAACTCCTTCCAGTATACCATATTGCTTATATTAGTTTTATTATTTCTTTTATTAATAAGAGAAATTAAAAATATCCAGGACATTAACCTGAGGACATTCCAAAACTGAACTGATATGGAAATTGTCCTATTCTGTGAAGCACAGTCCCATTAAGGAAATACATAAATGTGCAATTGAAATAAAGGATGCTGGTTCCTTGTCCTTTACCCAATTTGGTTTAATAAATGTTAATGTTGACTTGTTGCTGTTTTCAATCCATGCTCTTGATAATTCATAATTTACTTTGGTTATATAGGGTCTCGATGGAAAAGGAAATAACGTAGACTGAGTGGCATTTCTAGGTAAGACCTGAAGGTGGCAGCATAAGGCCGCCACAAATTGTAAAATACGTAGCTTCTAACTCTAGCTGGGGCTTGGTTTTTTAATGGGATCCATTTCTAGAATTAATTACCCCTCTTATGACTGAGAGGAGAGAGAGGTGCTATTGTGAACAAGATTTACATGTAGTATGTCAACCAGAGTAAGTTTCCACTGCATGTTTATTAGCCATCATTTGATCAGATGATGCCACCAATGAAGCTTTTCTCTTCTTGGGAACTTAAGGATAGTATGAGTCATTTGGTCAATACATGGTGTCTTAGATTCTTTTTATTCTGTATTGCAATAACTTTTGCTCCTTGGGTTGGACTTGATTTTCTACCCAACTCTATGTTCCTTCCCTTTACACTCTCCCCCACTTTTTATTTGTTTCTGCACCAGAATGAAACTTCTATATGATACAAAAGTGAGTTTTATCCCAATAATTATTTAATCTCCTTATTTTCTTCTTCAATCATTTTTCCCCATGTCCCCCATATTTCCCAAAGTCCTTTTGTTTCGGTTGATGATCCTCACTGCTGCCATAAGCCAAGACTTAGAATTCCCTGGTTCTAACAATCACTGGCTGGTTTACCCAGAATAACATAGCATTCGGATTAAGAAGATGTGAGTTTGGTAAGTTTAACCTCTTTCATGCTGGACCTTGATTCCATTTTAAGATTGTAATAGGCTATGGAAGTATGACTGATGGGCAGTGGCAGCAAGTTGGTTTAGTCTCTGGAAATAGCATCAGAAAGATACTTTGCCCCAAATCACAAAGAGATGATACTATGACAAGGTGGGGCAACAGAACTAAATGGTTGGTAAACTTCTCAGAGGCAGTGCAGCTGAAGAATTTCAGAGAATTTTTGGAGAATCTTTAGTTAACTGTCAAGCTGATCTTATCATTTCTCAACTTAGTCCCAACTTCCTTCCCCACAAGACCTACTCATTCTTGCCTCTATACCTTTGCTGATGTTGTTTTTCCTACCTAAAATTCCCTTCCTTTTCCTTTCTGTCCTTTCATATTTTATACTTCAAGGTCCAGTCTCACTGAAGCCCTTCCTGATCAACTCAACCCTGAAGCGATTGATTCATTACAGTCTTCTGTGACTCCCCTCTCTACTGCTACTAACATACACTTTCTTATGTTGACTTGGAGTTGTTCTTCAGTTGTCGCATCAGGAACATCTTGTCTTAACATCTTGTAAGCTTCTGGAGGGTGACTTGTCTTATATTTTCCATGAGTATCATAGAAACCCTTTATAATTCATCACTTAGTGAATAAATGAATGAGTATATATGCAAGCTGAAAATTTGTCAGAAATATAATCACAACACTAACACATCCTTCTCAGCCATTAGTAATATCTTAGAAAAGGTCAACTGACAGAGAATAGGATATTACTAGTCCAAGTTGTGCCTGTAGACAGAGACAAGTCATTCAATTTCTCTGAGTTTGTTTTTCCCTCTGCATATAACAGTACTATTTAAGGTAACAGTGTTATTCCGGTGAGGAGGACTAGTTTTCTCCTCCTTCTGGCTCCAATTCTTCAGTGGGAGGCATCATTCTTTCCCAGGTACTCCTTCAACTTCTCTTCTTATATGTGGCTTTCTTTCTAGGGACCCCTCCCTCCATTCCAGTCCTCCAGAGGAATGGTTTTCCTTTCAAGACCACCTTGGGAAGACAATGGGAAGAGAAAGTGGTCAAAAGGCCACCTCTCAGGGGCAGCCAGGTGGCACAGTGGATAGAGCTCCAGCCTTGGTGTCAGGAGGACCTCGGTTCAAATCTGACTTCAGACACTTAACACTCACTAGCTGTGTGACCCTGGGCAAGTCACTTAAAAAAAAGGCCACCTCTCATATCAACTCCTGCTCATCACAGCCATATTCCCACCAAAATTGCTGACTCATTGTCTAGGATTGATCCATGTCCACATTTTCTCCCTGATATGGGAAATTAAACTGTATGAATCAATAATTCTCTTCTATTAAGCTTGAACCAAGATTTTTTTCTAGCATTTTTTTATACCACAGTTGTGAAATTTCTTTTTCTTTTAAGCATCTCACTCTTTTTGCCTTTCTTTTGCTGAATTTGAATAATAAAACACATGGATCAGCAATGCAATGGTTAGCCATTTTTCTCTTAGAAACTAATTTTAAAACAAAAAGAAAAAGCTTTTGAAAAAAACTTTTAAGAAACAGAGATTGCAGAACAGGTACACCTTTCCAGGGAGGATGGAAAGGAGAAAGAGCAGGAAGCACCAATCTGTTTGCAGTAGCATGAACCATTCCATTAACTCAGTGTCTACTCTGTGCTTCCTATGTAGCTGGCCATGCAGTTCTTGCATTGGTATTTGCTACTACTCCTGACTCCCAGTCTGCAGCGAAACTTCTGGTCCAAGTGGCATCATCAGTCATGGGTAGTGTCTGTGTCTTCAATTGTTCCTTTACCAGCATGCTTGCTCCCACACTCCTTTCTTAGGAATGGAGGGTAGGCTTGTCAGTCAAATGCAGCTGGGGCAACACTAAGTCTCTGAGCAGTCAAGGAGAAGAACATGGGGAATTTCTGTCCTGACCTACAGGAACCCATCTCCAACACCTGTATCCCCTTAGAAACTTAGATACAGAGCATATATATAAAATGAAGAGGTTGCATAACATGATATGTAAAGTGTCTCCCAGTCCTAATATTCAATCATTCTGCAATCATAGGTCTTTCATTGAAGAAAGCCCTGTATATAGACATTTTTGTTACTCACGTCCAACTCTTCATGATCCCATGGATCATATCACACCAGGTCCTTCTATCCTCCACCATCTCTTGAAGTCTGTCCAAGTCCATGTTCATTGTTTCTATGACACTATCTATCCACATCATCCTCTGCCATCCTCTTTTCCTTTTGCCTTCAATCTTTCTCAACATCACGGTCTTTTCCAATGAGTTCCATTTGCTCATTATGTGGCCAAAGTATTTAAGCTTCAGCTTCAGTATTTGACCTTCCAGTGAATAGTCTGAATTAATTTCTTTAAATATTGACTGACTTGATCTCCTTGCTGTCCAAGAGACTCTCAAAAGTCTCCAGCACAATTTGAAATCATTTATTCTTCAGTGCTCGGCTTTTCTTATACAACCATATATTGCTACTGGAAAAACCGTAGTTCTGACTGCATAGACCTTTGTCAGCCAGGTGATGTCTCTGCTTTTTAGTAGCAGATTTGCCATAGCTTTCCTTACAAGAAGCAAGCATGTTTTAATTTCATGGCTGCAGTCTCCATCTGCAGTGATTTTTGAGCCCAAGAATATAATATCCGACACTGCTTCCATTTCTTCTCCCTTTATTTGCCAGGAAGTAATGGGATCAGTTGCAAAGATATTATTTTTTTTAATATTAAGCTTCAAGCCAGCTTTTACACTCTTCTCTTTCACCCTCATCAAGAAGCTTCTTAATTCCTGTTCACTTTCTGCCATCAGAGTAGTATCATCTGCATATCTGAGATTCCTAGCAACCTTAATTCCAGCTTTTGATTCATCCAGCCTGGCATTTCACATGATGTACTCTGCAT